CTCGACCGGCCCCTGCTGGACCTGGACGAGGCGCGGCTGCGCTGCGCCGACGGCGACCTCGACGGGCGCGGAGAAGAGGCAGACGCCGCCGGCCCGGAGCTGGAAGCTTCCTACGTCTTCTTCGGGCTGGTGCTGGCGCTCATCGGCCTCATCTTCCTCATGGTGCTCTACCTAAACCGCCGCGGCATCCAGCGCTGGATGCGCAACTTGCGCGAGGCCTGCCGGGACCAGATGGAGGGCTACCACTACCGCTACGAGCAGGACGCAGACCCGCGCCGCGCGCCCGCCCCGGCCGCCCCCGCCGGCTCCCGCGCCACGTCCCCAGGCTCAGGCCTTTGAGCCTCGCCTCTTGGAGATCGGGGGCTGCCCTGCCAGCGGACGACCTCACTGGGGCCCTGGTTTGGGGCCGTGGAATAAGACACTCGGGAGCTCCAGGACCAGCCCCAGACCAGCCTGAGACCTTTGGACCATGGTATTCCACTCCGAGGCTCCAAGTTGTACCCCCTCCCTTGGAGTCACCGCATCTGATTCCAGAAACTGCACCTGCCCACCTGCTCTGGAAGCCCTCTCACCCTTTCCGGAATCACCCAGAGACCCTGTCTTTCAATCTGAAAACCCGAGACAGCCTCACCACTCTGTGCTTTGAGCCTGACCGCCTACACTGCGCTGACTCCTGTCCCCAGCTGGAAGCCCTCAGTCCCTCTTCTCAGGGCTCAGAGGCTTCGCGTCCCATTCTGGTCTCAGAAGCAGAGCGCCCCCATCAGAAGGTTTTTGTAGACTTTGAGCCCTTTATCCTGCCCTGGAGCGCTGAGCCCTCCATCCTGCATGGAGATCTACATCCTGGGGCCCTGAGGGTTGGCATCCTCCCCGACACTGGCGGTGTATTTCATTCCCCAGCCCGGGCTTGGCCTCTCTCTTCCACGGCCCAGGCTTGGGGCTTCAGTCCCAGTCTGCCTTTCCCTTTCCAAGGAGAAGCAGCCGCTTTCCTAGCCTTAGAGTGGCTTCCATCCTCAGCCTTCCGCACCAGTATTCTGACCCCCCAGCACTCACTGGTTGCCCCCAACCTCATACGCTCCACTCATGCATCTGAGTTTCATTCCCTTGCCTAAGTTATAGGTTCTCATTCGCCCACTACCATAACTTGGGCTTGTACCCACCCCTGCCCTTCCCCTGCCAGATTTCCAGTGAGGAACCCGTCGCTGGGCTGTGCCACCCGCTTCCCTCCCCGATGAGCTCTCCAGTCCCACGGGACCAGCGCAGATGCCAGCACCTCAGTGTGCACTGGCAGATCCGCATGGGGAGGGAGAGTGCTGGGTGTGCACGGGGATGGTGGGGCCTCAGAGTTGTGGGAGGGCCCATTTCTCCAGACTGCTGTCCCCTCCCCTGTTGTCTTAGGGATTCCTTGCCACCACACCCCCACCCAGCCCGGAGGCCTCTGGAAGAGGATTGGGGTCTCACCCGTGTCTCAGGCACAAACCCTCCTGTTCAGGGTCAGAGCCTCAGCGCCCTGCCTTCTGCATGATCCCAAAGCACAATTGGTGAGTGGGGACGGGGCTGCCCTCCCTGCTCCTACCCCTAGGTCAGGCAGAATGGCTGGCCTGTGCTGCCTCTGCACACAGGACTTCTTCCTTTACTGTATCGGCTTGAGGCCTGCCTTCCCAGCCCTTCCCCAAGAAATCTGCACCTCCCTCGAGCAGTTTTCTATAAAGTCTGCAATAATCTCAGATACCCTCCTCTTGTAAGTGGTACCATGTCATTGCTGCTCACCTTGGGACGTTGATGGAGGTGGGAGGTGACACAGGGAGGGCCTTTTGGGCCTCTCAAGGGTCACATATCAAGCAGTGACCCTTGATATGTGCCCTGAGTGTGTGGGGAAAGTGAGCTGATTGTACACAGCAGGATTAAAACTAGACGTGTGGAGGGACTTCCCACTGGGATGACATTGCTGTCTACACAAGTCTGCTCTTTAGCTCTCAGGTGGGGTTAGTCGCTGCCAGGATGGGGTCCAAAGCTTGGCTACATCCTCTTCCTCTCCCATTCCTCCTCCCTTGGGGTGGGGTTGGAAGGTGGAAGGGAACGTGGTTAGACTAACAAATGCAGGCCTGGGGTGCAGCTGTGGAAGGGAAATCCAGCTACAGAGTATGAGAGGCAGTTAATGCAGACAGAGAAGATGAGGGCCATGTGCTGTTCTAGGGTCATCCCCTAGGTGGGTTTCCTGGCTACCCAGGCAGGGCCTGCACATTGGGCACGTGAGAGGCTGAGGGTGGCAGCAGCCTGGAGCCAGTGGTAAAATAGCACCTGGAGACCTGTGGAGTGAGGGGACAGGTGGCTCCAGACCAATAGGGCTGGGGTGGATCCTATCTTCTGCCTTGAAGTCCCCAGACTGAGTTCTTTTGCATTCAGGGTCACAGGGAGAACTGTGGAGCAGAAATCTGGATGCTGGCATTTAGCATTTCAGGGCCACAATTCTAGAACATATGCCTCCTGAGCATTTCATGGACCTCAGTGATGTGGGAAGCCCCAAAGCTGTCCCAAGTAGCACCCTCTCACCACAGGGAGCTCACTCCTTCCCCTCCTGAAAACAGTCCTCTCGATGCTGGAGGAGCCAGGCGTGTGCTGCACCCCAGGCCAGGAGGTGCTGGAGGAGCCTGCTGGGAGCCAGGCGCGTGCTGCACCCCAGGCCAGCCCTGCACAGTTGGAGACGGTGCATGAATCTCCTTGTCTTCTCCCAGCAGTCCCCGCCCTTCTTCCAGTCACTCCTCTGAGACGGGATTGAACACCCCAGAGGCATTCCCATCAGTCAGTGACCTTCAAAGGTGCCCCGACAATTCCCTAGGACTGTGGTGACAAATCTATGGCATATGTGCCACAGAGGGCACGCAGAGCCCTCTCTACCAGCCTGCAAGCCAAGCCCCAGCATTGCCCCAGCAACCGAGCATCAGTAACTGCACATAGGGACAGTGTTGGCAATTTGTGATAAATAAGTGTGTTTGCGGTTGTAGTTTGGGCACTTGGTCTCTAAAAGTTTCACCATCACTGCCCTAGGACAAAATATGATGTTCTCCCTCACAGGTTTGAGAACTGTCTAACAGATAAACTTGTCCATAGCAAAAAGTGCAGCCTCTGGTAATGTAACCTAAGACTTCAGATAAATCCCGGCAACAAAAAAAAACAAAAACAAAAACAAAAACAAAAAAAAAAACATACTGTCAGCTGTGGGTTTGTTGTCAGCAAAGAAATCTTTGAAGCTTTTATATGAGAGTCATTACAGCATTCTACTAAGTAGTAAGAGCTTAGTTTGGTTGAACTGCTAAGTATCCATAGTTACCAAAATCAACTGAGTGTCTGCTATATGCCAGTTGATATCTAAACTTAATGCCATTCACTGCTCCCCATTAAAAGCCAAGTATCCAGGAAAAGAATCACCTTTAATTAAGGTCCAGGGAAAAGAAATTCCAGGAAACAACTCAGAATAAGGACCCTGACCCAGCCTGAGGAATCTTCTCAGAGGCAGTCACGTTTGAGGTGAATTTTTTTTGTTGTTTTTTTTGTTTGTTTGTTTGTTTTTCTTCTGGTACCGGGAATCGAACTCATGACCTTGCACTTGCTAGGCAGGCACTGTGCCACTGAGCTAAATCACCAGCCCCTTGAGGTGAATTTTGAGAAGCAAATAGGAGTTTGCAGAGCAGAGAAAGATCAGAAACATCAGCTTATACAAAGGCCCGAGGCAGGAAGATCTTGTCAGCTTGAAGACTGGAGAAGATCAGCAATGACCAAGAATAAGTGGAAAGCTCTCTCTGTGTGTGTGTGTGTGTGTGTGTGTGTGTGTGTGTGTGTATGTGTGTACGTGTGTAACCAGGATCTTCATTCTCCACTGGGAAGCACTAGTGGGACTTCTGTGCTTGGAGGAGGAGCCGGGAAATAGAGATGTATGACATGGAGCAGGGGAACTGACTGTGCCTCTTACTTATTGAGCCTAACTGTTTTCTTCTGCCCACCCACTCTTCTGGGCCCTAGAGAAAGATGTACCATGCCCATGGGAGGCCAGAAGGACACGGTGGGAGGGCAGGAGCCACTGTGGGAGCTAGAAGCACTCTTGAGGGATGAGGTGAGGGAGGGGGTCTGGGAGGCGCTGCCTGATTCCCTGCTACCACCCACTCACTCTCTTGGAGACTGCTGGGCAGAGGTCTAGGGACTTCCTGGACCAAGTGGAAGAGGAGAAAAGCTGCCCCTAGAATGTACCCTTAAAGATGGAGTGCAGTAGGGAACAGGAGAGGGAGAGGGGAAGAGGGTGGCGTGGCTGTCAGTGTGGTAAACACAAAACCAGCTGTGCACTTGGAGGAGGGAGGCAGATGGCCCAGGTTCTGTGACCCTGTGGCAGCATGAAAGTTGCCCTTGTAAAACATCTCCCGGAGAAACCCTTCCCTCCCGCCACTCCTTGCTTACGCACATCCGCTCTCAGACCTGAAGTGGCTCCCAGGGTGCCTCGCTGGAGTCAGGGACTGGGTGGGAGTCTGAACCCAGCACCCAACTGGCCCTATCAGGTGGTCCTGAGAAATCTTGGTGAGACCCTACTGGGTGCTGAGTGCTGGGGAACACAGCCACACTGGCTCCTGCCTTTCTGGTGACCTTGGACACCCTGCCTCTCTCTGGCTCTAGGTTCTTCCTGTCCAGGCTGAGCTGCACTTGTGACCTCCAAGTCTGGAGGCATTGCCTGCTCTTGCTGAAGTCCATCTCCTTCTTCATTAAGTTTCTGCCTGACAGACTCCTGGCCCTAATTTATGGGCATAGCCTTTCCCAGGCTGGAGAAGTGACGGGGGCAGTTAATATTCCCGTGGTGATGTGCTTGGCTGCCTCCGGAGTCCCCTCCTCCACCCACCCCTGCCTTACAGCCCCCACCCTCTGACCTCAGCAGTGCCTCCGGACCATTGTCCAGGAGGTGGCCTGCCCTAGCAGACTCACCCTTCCTCGGGTGGGTGAAGAAACTGAGGCTCAGAGGGCACAGGAGCCCATCCAGGACACACAGATTGTCAGGAGCAGATGCCCACGGTTGTCCCTGCACTACCCTGGGTCTGAGCCCCTGGCAGGGCCACCACCCCCTCAATTTAACAGCCCAACCAGAGACGCTGCAGCCTGGGAAGGAAAACAGAAAGTGAACAGTGGAGAGGTGGAGGGGACTCCCACCATCCTCAGTTCCCACTCCAGCCTCTTACAGGCTGCAGCCTCGCTGGGGGTCAAGTTGCCTCTCCCTGAGAGGAGAAAGGGACTCCAAGCTCTCAGATCTTTGGGAGTCAACCCATTCCTCTGAGGTCCCTGCTGTCTGCCAAGCACTTGCTAAAAGCAGGGCTCACGTGGATGAATTAAACCTGCCTCTTGTCCTCAGTCAAGACAGTTTCCATTCAGGGTACCAGTGATCAGAAATAGAGGGCCAGGCGGGTTTCTAAGATGACCGCCCAAACTGGCAAACTTTGGCATGAAAGGGGCCATTATTAATAACTGCATGGGAGCTTGGTGTGGTGGTGCATGCCTATAATCCCAGCACTGTGGGAGGCTGAGGCAGGATGATTGCTATGAGTTTGAGGTCAGCCTGGACTACATAGTGGGTTTGAGGCTAGCCTGAAATACATAGCAAGACCCTATGTCAATAAATAAAAAGGGCTGAGTATAAAGCCCAGGGCACAAGCCCTGGGTTCAACCTAAGTACTACAAATCAATCAATCAATCAATCAATCAATAATACCATAGGGACAGAATAAACTTGAACAGTCCAGGCTGGTAGGTCTGGACTCCAGTGACCTTTGACAAGAACTAGAAGGGGAAATACAAAGTGCTAAACAGCCAAACAAGACTTGCCAGTCTCCCAGCACTAGGTAACTAACATATTCCCTTCCTGGAACCTAGTCTTCAGCCACACTGCGCTAAGTAACTGAGTCCAGCGGTCTGGCGGCCTGTGCCTTCGCTCACCGGCTCCCGCTTCCCGACACAGCACTCAGGACAGCCCCGGGGCCCCTCAGCTCTTCTGGTGTCACCCCTACTCCCGTTGTTCCACCACCCAGACCTTTATCTGCACTGACTGGTCTTCTTGCCCCTCCCAGGACAGGGGCTGGGCTTGTTCGCTTTTAGGTGCTCAAGCCTGATGCACAAGAGATTTATGAAACCCCCTTTGGCCCTGCCCCACCTGACAGAAATACAAAATGCAGAGCAAGAGACATTGCCCAGGGCACTACGACCTTTCTTTTTCCAGACGCGTGCTTCTTTTGAGTTCCACATCCTCCCACTTCATTAACGGAGGTTGCGATGATACCAGGGGCATGGGTGGCGTTCTCTCCTCACTGTTCTACAGCATACGCAAACTGCAGTTTTAAAATAGAGGATCTTGCAAAACATAATTTAGTCTTAGCCTCTTCCCCTCGGCTCTTAAATGGGATTATAGCTTTCTGACCCTGCTGTAGAACACCTGTCCAGGTTCCTGTCTGGGCAGCGCCCCCACGGAGCTGCAGTAACATCTGTGGGCGGATCCGTGTCGCTTCCGAGCCAACCTCAACTTTTCTTTGCACACATGCGCCGTCTGCTGGTGGATATGGGGAAGTTCTTTCACTTAACAATCCATTCACTAAGCATTCAAGGACCTACTTACTATGTGCCAAGTACGCGCTAGAAGAGATGCAGGTTTGAGGAAAACTGACAAAGTTTATGCCTCTATAAAACAATAGTAGTAATAATT